CCCCCCCCCCCTCCCCCCCTCTAAAATCAATTCTCTCCTGGAGATCGTCTTCGTGAGCCTCTCATGATTTCAGGATAGTTGAAACCCTCTTGAACATTCAGAAAGAGTGAATATGAAATTCTAATCACGAAAGGTGTTCTGTGAAGCACGTCAATTCTCTCCTGGGGAGCGTCTTCGTGAGCCTCTTATGGTTTCAGGATAGTTCAAATCCTATGATGTTCCGATTCAATGCTCACCGATGATCTGAGCCATGGGGCAAGTTTGTTTTCCTAAGAATCTTTTTGAACATTTCGAGAGCACATGTTTGAACATTTAAAGTGCATATGAACATATATGTACGAAAGGTCGCCTCCGAGGGGATACATCACCATGTCGAACATTGCATTTTTGTTCCTGCCTCTCGCGTTCTCTTCTCTTCCCGCTGTCCTACCTTTCGTGTCTCCCTCCTCTCAAGTTATATATTATATATTGCATTTAGATCTTTTAGTCTTCACAGTCTTCTCAATGCCCTCTCCTATGAGAGTCATGTTTAATAGTACATAGACCGTACTATCTGCTTGACCCACCAGCGCGTACCTCTTAGCCAACAACAGTGAGAACATCAGTCCAACAGTGGCACCCGCGTACCTCTTTGCTCAGACCCGGAACCGAGTTCGATCTACGCCTGAATCCTTCCAACCTTTGTGAACGGAGCCGATGTGGACGGCTCTTGACCGATTCTGCGCTGACCGATTCGGGCGTCGGCTGTTTGCCGGTGCGGTGTTGGACCCGCTGGCGGCACCTGGAAACCGTTCGGCACCGCTATGACTCGACGGTGTGCAGGCCGCAGCCGTGGCCGTTGTGTGTGGTGCCCGGTCCGTTTGGGGGAGTTCTGTTCAACCAGAGGAGTTCTATATGTCTATACTCGACATGGAGCCATGAATGTGGGAGCGTGAACGCAGCTCTGGCACAAGCCAAACTGACCAAACAAATATGACCAATGAAAACCTGTAGTTATTAATATATGATTATTATTCAAGTAAAAACATATTTCAACTGACTCAAGTGTTTCTTGTCCTTAAGGCAGCAAGTTAACTTGTTTCATTACTACTGGATATGTAAATATTGCAATACAAAGTGGACTTGTTTGAACACCTTTTGCTGCACGCGTTGGATCACAACGACCCACAACAGCAAAACCCAAAAACTAGACCCCACTGGAGGAGCTAAAGCCAGAGCCTTGCACACAAAACTCAAGATGCCACCAAACTCTAAGATGCTTCCACCCACACCGCCACACCCAAGCTATATAGCCTTGCAAGCCTGCGTGAGTCGACACGTAACCTGCGTGAGTCGACTTCAAGATGGGGCCGTACGCACAGCCATTCATGGCTGCCCCCAAGAAGGAGAAGCTGGGTCGACCGCTCTTGGTGACTTGGCAAACGAAATCACTGTTCGAACGAACGCCGAGTCGGTTGGGTGGTGGTGGGTCAGACACTCGCCTTGTGCTTGGCCTCAATTGTTAGCCCGAACACTCCATGGACCCTCCATACTAGTAGGAATCTGGACCCTCAAAACCATTTCAACACCCTTTCCATTCTTTCCATTTCAGGGTACGGATTCTTAGGGAAAGCCATATCCTCTTGGAACCGGCAAAATGTTGACCTACTGTTACCCAGACAGACAGAAAAAGAACATTCAGCTTAAACGCAAAATTACTCTGAGGTAAAGAATGAGTTGCCAGCATGGAAGACCCCCTTACAACACCTGTGCATTATGTGAGGCGACAACACTTGCCACATGTGAGCATCCGCAAAATAGAAGGACCTTCCCACAATTTACGGCGCTCTGGAGAGATGATGTAGCATGTGCAGGATTTCCATGGGGCCCGAGAGCCTCCACTATGCTCGTCACGTCCCCATGCCATGCAAAGCATGTTTGGACAACAAACCCTGCAAAGCGCAACAAGTCAGTGCCCGGATGTGCCATCAAAAATTGCACCCAGGATGGTTTGGGTTGCTCTTTTGTCAACACCCGACCTCTCCTCAAATGCTTCCCCACCGTGCGAACCAGTGGGCTTTTGGTGGCCCGGTGTTCAACGAGCATGAACTGTACGACTCGAAGGTGCAAGAAAACTGTTGGGCAACAATTCTATTGAATTCTTGTTTATAGTAGCTTCTTGTTCCTAGTAGCTTCTTGCTCCTAGTAGTAAGGCCAGGAGCCCCTAGTAGCTAGCGTCCTTGCTCTTAGTAGTAAGGCCAGGAGCCCCTAGTAGCTTCTTGCTCCTACACCTTAAGGTGTTGACAAGTCCTTTGGATTTCACAGGTGCGTGGGTCCCCGAAACAGACATCACGAAACATGCAGCATTTGCATCAACTCGTTCTTACCCACCCAACAGGCTTGGGGTGGTGAATTTGCAATTACCAACCCAGTCGCCAGGTACCCCAAGGATCCTACGCTGCCTCTATACTAAGTAAACTCTTGGCAGAAATGCAACTTGTGATTTGCAATGAGCAATATCAATATCTGTTTTCTCCAATTTTATGTTTTAGGATAATGTTGGCGATTAGTTAATCTTCCGGTGGCCGTTTTGCATTACCTCGATACTGCCTAAACATGCTACTCCAAAAGGGGCAGGGATGAAAAGCCTTGAATCACTGCAAAAGCTTGTTAGATACCAACATAACAACATACATTAATATGTGCATGTAAGTAGAGCATCCCCTGATTCCTGCAAAGCAGCCCTGTCCGGGAAAGATTCCAAAAAATGTTTCGCGCAGCCAAAACGCAAGCAACAAAGCTGCAACAGAAATATGCGAAAGAAGAGCCCATTAGAACAAATGTTGGGTAGATTTGGAAGAAAACTCAGACTCAGACTCATAATATAGCCCTTAAACCAACAAGTACACACTGAGTTCCTCAGATGCTGATAGACAACATTCATCACGCTGTCGATATCGCATCACAAGGTCAGAAATGGGGACAGGTCAAAAGCTGGAGCCCCGTAGCGAACGAGCTCCCAGGTCAACCGGTCGGTATCCTGGTGCCATGACACACAGCCAGTTTTTTAAAACCTGGAAACACAGTCCACCCATTGGTTGGAGACCTCCCTATTAGAATTAATCTCCCAAATATTCAACCCTCCATCTTTGTTCAAGACATCTATCTTTTGGATTCACTGGCAGCAACGAGAGGTCGTGTACACACGACATGTTGACCAAAGGACCAACGGGTGCCAGTGGGCGTTTTGACCCCAGCATCAAGCACGGCTGCCCTCCCAAAACAAAAAGCTATAGCC